AGTGGTACTAGTTTGACTAGACTTGACCCCAGAAGAGAAGTAGTGTAGAGTCGATGTAGCAGTTCCCGTCGTCGTAGCATCAGCGGGGCAGCAGCGGTGTTGTGGTTGGTGATGGTGGCCTTAGCCTTTGTAATTCCAAGTCTGATGTGAGATGGCAGCAATACCAGAAGAAATGCTTCCCGGCTGACAAGCGTCTGGGATTTGCAAGCCCTTTGTCCAAAAGCTGACATTAGCCGGAAGCGTCAAGGAGTCGAACCAGAGGCTCGGTTTCTGCTGCATCACGAGGCCGCGGCTCAGGACCTAGGATCGAGTTTCTCTGAAGGCTACTCAAAGTTATCAAGCAGGATTTGCACACAGCCCTTCCAACAATTGAGGTTTCCTTGGCACATGTGAATTTTTTGTTTGCCAACGATACACTTACACGATCTGTGGATGCAGAACATGCCTGCGCTGTGCCTTAATTTATGCAGCAGTCAAGACAGTGGTAACATCGGCATTTGATAGACATGCTAAAGTCTCCGAGCACCGTCCAGGCCCAATGAGGTCCTTTGTTTGTGGATGCCCGCGTGCCGAAGTATTTTGAAGTGGCTGAGGGTGTGCCAATGCCAGCCTGCAGTGTTCTGATGTATCTTGTATTCATGCGAGACATTATGTTGATTCTGCACCTCCTGAAGCCTACAGCTTGCAGTCTTTGTTAAGAGTTCAGCCTGGATCTTCGAACAACTGTGGTCTAGCATTTTCTGTGGCGTAGCAGTTATTAAGCAGGGCGGGTGCTTCTGTGTCGGTGTTCGGCTTTTGCTGTTTTAGTTCATTGCTGAGAAGACCAAAGCCATCCCAAGCCTAAGTGTTGTTCGTTACCAGCACGGCAGTTTTTGATTTGGACGACACGCTGCACATTGTGCTGTCGGGCATCGATGCCCTGACCCAAACTTGGCCGACAGGTGGGTTCGCAGCCTTACATTGCAGTGGTCAACAACGAGATTGGCTTGAATGCCGAGCTGGCATGTTTCAAGCCGCAACACAAGGTGCAAGATCGCAACCCTTGCGCAGAGTCTTTGCTCAGCGAAACTCCAACAGGGCCGGGAGCATTGTACAGCCTCACCCTCATGTTTCGGGGCACGTGGCCTCGGGCTTCTCCAGAAACAAATCTTCGCTTTTGTGGTCGAACGACGGCCCCGAACTCACAGATAGAGTCAGATAGAGCATCGGCTGCGGCTCAATGCAGGCGCAAGACTTGGTTGGTATGTGCGCCATATCCAAGTCTGCGAAGAAAGAGAAGGCACATCCGGATCATCATCCGATGCAGCATTGGCGCATCTTGTGGGGTTTTGCCTGTACGTAAGCGACGCACCACATGCTGAACAGCGTGGGACAGTTGCATCGAGCATGTGCGCTTGCATTTGTCAGGGAATGCAAACAAGAAATTTCGTAGAGTTCTGCGTAGCACGTAGTAGATTGAAAAGTTGGTCGGCAAGCTGGTTGCACTTCTAGTGGCGCCTGAGCCCTCAAACTATGACAGCACGGAAGGCCGACCGGACCGGGCGCAAAGGCATCGGGTTTAAGAGCGTCTTTGCCGCAGCATCCTGAGATACTGGATTGTCACGGCATGTTTGCTTCGAAACCTGGGGTTACCGGGGAGCAATGGGGTCTAACACCGATGCTGTACCACAGAGACATTCTGACCGTCACGCCGCAAACCCTGCCACGAAGTCTTCCCAAATCCTGCCAAAGCCGGCAATAAGAACCACTAAACGGTTGGCCGGCCAGTTTATAGATTATAGAGATGAACTCACTCGCAGAAGCTTCTTTATGGTGGTGATCAAAGTACGCTGACCTGTCCTTCGTCCTGGCAATCCTCAATTAGTCCTCAATTCACCTTCTGAGGTTTCGTCCTGCCCACATGTGCTTAGCCGCCCGCAGCCCAGGGTTCTGGGCAGTCGCCCCTAGATCCGGCAGTTCGATTCGTTCATTTCCTACACAGGTTGCCTCCCAACAGTACCAGGTTGAACCGGAGTCAGCAAGGGTACAGGATTTGGGGCTGGATGGGAATTGGAGCAATGTCTTAAGGCAGAAGGATGATTGTGGAGAACCTGATAGGAAAAAACGGGACAGAAATGTAAGCCATTGGCGCCTACCCCATTTACACGAACATCACCTTCAAATGTAGGTTTTCCCGCACTGGTTTCTGACACTACTGCCACTGCCACTTCCACTGCTACTAGTAGCTACTGCTGCTGCCGCTACTACCATCGCTACTACTACCTCTACTGTAGGTTAGGGATTTGGGGTTTGGGGTTTAGGGTTTCGGGTTTAGGATTTGGGGTTTCGGGTTTAGGGTCTAGGGTTTGGGGTTTAGGGTTTAGGGTTTAGGTTTGGGGGTTTAGGGTTTAGGGTTTAGGCCTTTGCAGGTCTCCTTGAAAGGGTTCCCTCAAGGGTACTATAGGGTTCTATAGGGTACCACAGTTTACAAGTACCAGCTAGTAGTCTCAGGTCTGATGCACAACGGCAAATATCCTTGTTCGCTCGGGCTTACGTACGGTTTGAGGTTATGTTTTTACCAAACACTCGGAAATCTGACAATCAACTGGAGGTGAACAGGCCGTGGTCATGCAACATTCGTCAACACCCACCTCCTAAACTTATTCACGAACCCTTTGCAGCCACAGAAGATTCACACAACTTGTTTTTTCAGTTGTTGTTGGCGGTGGTGGTGATGGTGGCGGCGATTTATGTTGCTGATTGCTGTTGCTTCGGCTGGTGTTGGCGTGGTGCTCCTGTTGCAGCTGCTGCACTGAGTACTTATCCGAGAATTTTAGTGTCATGTCTATCCTTCTGCTTCCTGCGGCCTCTGTCATTGTCATGAACCTCCATGAATGAACCTTCATGAATGACTTGGTTCCTTGTTTAGAACTGCTGTGCTTGTGAAACACGTGAAGTGCGGCACAGCATCGGGCTTGACATTCATCAGCTGACTGCAGCGTCGGAGGTCTGTGTGAATTGGCCCCATACCTCGAAGTCTGAGACCTTATGCAGAACTTCAACTATACCCACAGTCGCCTCAGCCCTAGCACTAAACCACAGAATTTGGAGCAGTCTTCTCCCTACATACCCAAGAACCTGGTTGCTGTTCCCTTCTACGACCTAACACGTACTGCCTGCTACGCACGACTTCCCTACTACTTACCTACTAGCGACTGCCTACGCACTACGCACTACACACTACTACTTACTACGGCTACGACGACGATGACGACTAAGGCTGCCAGCTGCTGCTGCTGCTACTCCTCCTCCTCCTCCTCCTCCGACTACTACTACTACTACTACTACTACTACTACTACTGCTACTACCGACCCTACACCAAGACCACCCTTGTTTGAAAGCCGAGCCTGATCCCTTTCCCTACTTTTTTTTGCGCAAGGAATGCAAGAACCCTATGTCATTACCACGATGCATAAGGCAAGCACATGTCAAGCCTAAGCATTCCCAGCATCCCGAGGTTCCTACACCTTCAAATTCGACGTGCGCAATGATCGCATGGCGCACCGCTCGGCAGAAGACGAGTGTGTTGTTTCAAGGCTGCTCCTTTCAAAGTTTTGTACACGTGTATGTATGTATGTATGTATGTGTATATATATATATATTATATTATATACATATATGGGACAGACCTCTGAGTCCACGAGAGAGAGAGAGAGAGCAAATAAATAAATAAGTATATATGTACTAATTATACACGTGCATACACACATGCACATGTATGCACACATGACTATTTATACGTGCGCATCTCGGTACGCTTGTTTAATTCATTTGTTCGTGTATTGTTTGATATATTCATGTATATGCATCCATGGATGGAAGGATGGATGGATGGATGGATGCATGGAGGGATGGAGGAATGGAGGGATCGATGGATGGGTGGATGATGTATTCACGTACGTGTGCTGGATGTTACATTCATGCTTGCTTCGAAGGCAAATGGGCGCAAACCGGCAAGGCTAAATCTGACCGCTTCTCAAGACTGAGGGCTGAAAGACGGTAGGCCCTCAAGCCGTGTTTTTCTGATTAGGCAACCTTGTCATTGCGGAGTTTACGGGCAATGCTTCCCGTTCCGGCAGCTGTGGCCTGCGGCATAGTTCTCCTGTCTGTCCATTCCGCTTTGGCCGAATGGGACTTGGCGGGCTTGTCCACGGCCTGGAAAAGCTGGATTGAGAAAGGGTTTAAGAGGCCGGATTCGCAGGAGCAGCGCATGGAAGATGCCCTGCAGAAGATGATGATGGAAAACTACAGGCGAGCTATACGATATGTGGCACACGTTATCGGCACCCTGGTGCTGGTTCTCCTGTACCGGATGCAGCAGCAGCCCGAATGTATCACTGCAGTCCGGTTTGTGGCGGTCGTGGGGCATTATCTCTGCAGCTGGTGGGTGGCAAGATCGCACCTCTCCTTCAACGCGCTTCGGCTGCTGACGGTGTTGTCACATGTAGGTCACACCGTCTTTATCATCACCACACACTTTTCAGAGGAAGCGGACTACCACCTGTTCTTGGTTGTCTCGGAGGCCTTTCATGTGTGTGGGGCTGCTGTCATTCACGACCCGCCTGTTATGATCCCATGTCAGGCTTGGGTTTGTGCAGTGGAAGTTGCATGCTACTTCGGGCTGGAGGGGAGACGCCGGGGCCCTGCCTGGCATTTCCTCTGGAGTCAGGCTGTCGTCTTTGCCTTGGTCTGTGGAGTCTCAATCATGGTCCAGGAGTGGGCGCGAACTTGCATCAAAGCTTCATTTCAGTCAGCCGACGCCAATCTCTGTTTGGAGGGCTTCCAGTGAGTTTTGCGAAGCGTTTGCGATGCAGATGTGCTGCTCGATGATAGTTTCCACATCGTCGGGGATAACACTCGCTTGAGACGCGTCCTGGCAACGCCCACCGATCTTCAAGGTGTGAAGTTTACCGACCTACTCGAGCAGGAGGGAAAAGCGCAGTTCGAGAACTTCGTCCGGATGTCATACAATGCAAGCCAAAACCCAAAACAAAGGGAGGAACAGGAGAAAAGCTGCAGCATTCCGCCGTGCCTGCGCGTCTCACTGCCAAGTGCGTACTCGCGGGTTGGTGTGGACATTTTCCATGTTCTCGTGCCGCGCTTTTTGGATGCTGCAGGACCCCTTCACCTTCTGGCGATTACGGAGGATCCAGATACGAGAATGCAGCCGGATGCAACTCTTGGCGCGATTCCAGAAGCGCTCTGCATGTACTCCGAAGAGGACAACGATCGTGTGTCCACGGTTGCAGAGTCGGAGGCCGCCTACTCACAAAACAGTCTGAGCAGTTCGATGCTTTGCAGAGTACATCCAGTTCCCGAACTGCGCGAACTTACGCTGCTCGTGGATGCGAGTACGGACCAGCAGGACGTGCTGCAAGTACACGCCAAATTCAAGCGAGACAAGAACCTGCCCAATGACATCCACTCGTGCATGCCATGCTTGCAGACTATGCTCAGACCGTCGGATTGGCTCAGCATCCGCATGCGCGTGGCGAAGTTTGCGCACGAACAGTGCCAGGTTGGTTCTCCGGAATCGCATGAGCTGCCATCCGTGATGCTTCGGAGGTTGGATGACCAGAACAAGTTCGTGGCGGCCAACACCGTCAACCTCGCCCCGTGTCGCGGCCAGGAGCCATCAAAGAAGTCTTCATTGGTTTGGGTCTACGTCCGAGATTTCGTGAATGACGAGGCCAAATTCCGAATGCAGCCGAGTAATGTACTACGCTGAGGAGGCGCTTTCCTGCTGCCGGCGTACCACTGCTTGGGTGACGCGTAGGCGAGAGATCGGAGACATTCCGGGCGCGCATCCTGAAGCGCATTTCGAGCAGTCGGTGTATTTTCTTTGTCTTCGACTCTGTAGGGCTCCATGCAGGGGCGTCATTGATTGTAAGGATCAATTTATCTAGTGACGACTCTAGTGTTTCTTTGCTGTTAAAGTATAAAGCAGTAAAGTAGCTTGCGTGAGCTGGCATTCAGCACCCACTCCTTTCTGCGTCTTTGCTACATTTGCTTCTCCGAAGCCTGTTGGGTTAAACGAAATAAGACGCACTCTGCTGGTAAATGCAGCCAGGGTGGTTCTGCGACCTTGTTAGTTGGCAAGCGCTTCGATTGGGACATAGTTTGAGTGCAGCCAATAGAAGGACCACTGATTCCAAAGTTCTACCCTGGCAGTCTCTGTCCAACACAAGCTCCTTTGCACCGGGACTGTCATGGGGCCTGGGTTTTTGCACACCAAACATTTGCATACTTTTCGGTACTTGTCATTTTGGATTGCTTTGCATGCTCCCTCGCAGTCACGTGTCCTTTTCCTTCACTTTCGGCGCAGGCCAAAAGCCAGGCAGGTGCCACAAGTGTTGCTGCGATTGCCCGATATCTTCACTTGCAGCTTGCCCACGTAGAAGTCACGTACTCGATCCGAGAAGCTGCTTTCACGCACCCTTTGTCTACATGCGGGTGGCATGCAGATGCCGCTCGATGCCTTTTTGTGGCAATGAGGCCGGTTTGGCGACTGGGACAAGCTGGATTTCACCATGAGTTCAGGCTCGTAGACCGGAAACCCATACTGGGGCTTGCTCCGCACTTTGAAGTCATTAAAAGATAATTACAGTGTTTTCTTACTAGAGGCCACCAACAGTAATGCAATAGTCATAACAATCGAAATAATGGTAATGTCATTTGATGTTTGAACTGTTAGCAACCATAGAAATTCCTCAGTCGCCGCAAGATAGTTTCTCTCAGGGTCTGCTTGTAGCCAGAAGGGCTGAAGCAAGAAGCGCCGAACCTGCATCAACTTACAGAGAACCCGTTTAATGAAGGAAGCAACTTGGACGTAGGGTGTAGAGTGTAGGGTTTAGAGGTTTAGGAATTATAATCATATATGGTTTAGGCTGACGTTCTGAAACCCAAAACTTCAAACATCAATGTTTTGGAAGGCTTCGGGAGCTCGCGCCGAAAGACCCTACAAATTCAAGGCCTAGTTGTGGAGGCTGTCAACTCGTCGTTCGATGCTTTAGGTTTGAAGGTTAGGCTACGGTGGAGATGCTCCACTGCCAAACGCTGAGCCACTTGGACATTGCCTCCGCCGTGGCTCTTTGCAGCGAGCCGGGATGACCTTGCGCCGGGTGCAGCTAAACAAAAAAGCATATCACCGAGTAGACAGTCAGAGTCAGACCAGTCGTGGTGAAACGCCTTGAGCGAGTGTGAGAGTCACCAAAGACTGAGGGCTACATCATGCCAACCTGGATCGAGCATCAGGCGAGTTCGCATGTGCAGTGGGGGGTAATCTGAGGTTGGTGCGAAGAATACCCAACCCTTCGGCAGTTTCTGCCCTGGGAGACATGGGCTTCTTGTCTTGGTATTCGTACATGGTGCTGCCAGCGGTCTGCTTTACTGTGACAGTACTAGTTACTGGTAGCCAGAAGCTTGACTCAGAGTCCTCTGCGGAGGAGCTGCAACAGAGTGTGCCGGATGAGCTGCAACGACTGCACAAGGCCAGGGCTTGCTGGGGGTTCAGTTTACTTGCACTTTGAATGCAATGCCGAAGGTTTAGGAACCGACCAACTGTGCAAGACCCCCCATAAAAAACTTTGCAAGTAGTCAAAGGAAGCGCGCTTGCATTGTGTAGGGTTTGGCCCATGCTTAACGACAAAGATGCCAACATGCTGAATGGGCAACGTGCCTGTGAACTCCATGCAGGTTGACGTTGACAGGATTTGGCTTCTTTATAACCACCACTCCCTTTGATGCAGCACGGCCCGAATTACTGAGGGATCAAGGGTTCACCGGCAAACCTCCGAAAGCACAGAACTATAAGACTTAGACTCGCAGTCGCCGTCGTAGCCATGGCAACACATAGGCATGGTACAAAGACTCCATCATCACGCGAACATGGCTGGTTTGAGGGTTGGCTTTTGCCGAGGAAGGCTTCACTGTCATCTACCTGCCTCTGAGCGAGCCGCCCGACGTCTGCTGCTCAGCACTCTTTGACTTGAAGCTTCCAGGCCTCCGGGGGTGGGGCCAGAGAAGGTTGGTTTTGCCTGGTTCTACGCGGTTTTGAAAGCTACGCAAGTTTAGACACATGCTTAATCTGGTAAGTGAGGTGTGTAAAGTAATGCGAATTGAGCATGAACAAAGCGGAGCAGTCTATGGCAAAAGCAGAGGAAGGCAAGATACGGAAACGGAGGCCCACTCCGGCAAAAGCAAACGACAGCCGCATCCGTTGTGCATGACCTTTCAAGCGAGCATGCAAGCTTCTTAGTGTTGCAGCATGTCTTTGCCCAAGTATAGGTTCAAAGGCTTCCCAGCGCAGGCTTCCGAGACCTAATCTTAACTTGGTCTGTCTGGGATCGAAAACTCCTAGAGATCCAAGCCGAGACCCTTCCAGGCCCTCCTAAGCAGAAGCCGTTGCAGTACTCAGCGGAAGAAGTTCGAAAGGCAAGCTCCGACCTTCGAAGTCTGAAGACATTGATAACCCGAGTTTCGAACTCCAGCAGTATCCAAGAAGAGCAATGTGACGGCATGTTATACCATCTTGTGTTCATGCTACATTATACTGCATATGCTACATCATACTATTCCCTCCCACGAGAGCACAGAGATCAACTTCCAAGGCCCTACTGTCCGAAGTGGAGGGTCACCTGGAGGCCCCCAAGATGGAATGGGCTTCTTTGTGTAATTATACTGTCGGCTGGCGTATCTGAAGAGCAGCAACGATGCAGGTTTAGGTTTTCCCTAAACCCTAAACCCTAAACCCTAAACCCTAAAAGGTCGTTTGCTTGCGTTTCCCTGCCTCCGTCGAGATATTGCAGGTCCTGGTCCGGCCAGACTGAGTCCAGTAGCAAAAAGGGCCTGAAGCTCCCAGTTCAAAAGGGCGGGGCAGGGATCGTCTTGGTAAAGATCCCCGGTTTTAAGGTTTTTTTCATGTGCGCGGAGCTGTCTGTCCCGGCATCATGACACTTCGATATGTCGGAGGCCATGGACCCAGCCACGCTTCTCTTCATGCCAGAGCCTCGGTTTTTGCAGCCCATGCAGAGACATGTTGGCTGTAACCCAAGTTAAGGTAAGATCTTGCTTGTCTTCAGATTACATTCTATATACAACCCTGGCGATTTCACAAGTCCTGATGCAAGTGCCTGTCGGTCCCCTACCCATGTTTTGGCACGCTGGGGATTGGAGAAAGCTTGATTTCACAAACGAATGCAAGAAGTCGGCAGTGGAGCATACAGGGGAAGGACGTGGATAGACATAATTTGATCAGGCAAATGCAGAACTTAGGTATATGAAGGACGTACAAACTCACGTTGAGCACGAGGGCACCGGCGAGAAAATGAACACGATTCGACATCGTCCTAGCTCACACACGCAGAAATTGAGCTTCACAAGGACAAGGAGAGTCGAGTACTGCATTATGGGTGCTTGGAATGGGGCACTTGCTGTTTTTTGGCACGGCAGGGAGTGGATGTGGGATTTGATACCGGGGAAAGTAGCTAGACTGAGATTCGTTGAACACTCGTTGAAACATTGAGCGGGTTTAGCAAGCTGTAGAATGCTTTTGATCAGCGCGACGCCTGAGGAGCACCAACAGCTAAGCAGAGTGGTGTGAGCAGATGCACAGACGGATTTGAGTCAATATGAAAAGAAGGCCAGACATGTACTTATGACCCACATCCACGAAGTTGTGCATCTGGGCTCAATTCGAAACCCTCGATCCCAAGCCTGCGTACCGCTCGAAAGGCGGCGGTTGCGGCGGATTGAGTTCCGTGGGGTGGCGCCCTCAGTACTATTCGAATACACGGCGTCAATTAGTCTCAATTAGTCTGTGCGGGCTCGAGCAGTTCGAATTGGGGAAACAACCTGTGAAGTTCAGGGTTTGGGCTCAGTAGTCCGTTTAGTAGTTGAGTGTTCAGTTCGAAGTACGCACTCCGGCACCTCAGTCAGTGCTGAAAAGAAGTACGCACTCCTTCACGTGGCGTTCTCTGATGCGATTTGTGGCTACTGCCCTCGTAGTCGTAGCTGGGTGGTTTCGAAACAAGTGTTGGGCAGCATTGGTTCCAATCGACTGTCGCGACTCAAATCCATATAAGATCACATAATCTATAAGACTAGCAGCATAAGATAACAATGATAACAATAGACAATAGTTATGTCATAATTATTGAACAGGATGTAAATAACTTCATTACGCAAGCACTTCGCCCCGGGCAACCTGACCTGCACGATCTCCGTCCAAACACCGTCTCCAGCTGAGTATACAGCCCTTTGCAAAACATCACAGCGAGCCACGACGTCGGCGTGGTGAACTGACATTTCCTTGATGCGATCATCTCTTGCTAGTGTTGCATGATAGAGCACGAACTGATGGAGGCAACGTCTACCAACTCGCAACAGCGTTCGGGGTGAGCGATTGTCAGCGCTCCCCTTGCCTTCATTCCCCGTCTGCCTTGGACGTTAAAACACCCGAATCTCATTGACAACGCACATTGGTGGAGGAGCGACGGTGTTTGGAAGGATTCGTCCTTGGCACCCCCGCTCCGCCCACACACGCGCACAGCCACGACGTTGGCACATGACACATGCATTAAACCTGTTTCGGTCCTTAGATACCCATCTCCAAAAATCGCACGGATAACTATAAACTGCAAGTGGCCCCATAGATTCCCTAGATCCGATCACCTGGCAGGTGAGCGGCTCTCAAATGAGCCTCCGCGCCCAGGTCCGGGGTCCTACACAGAAAAAGCTCAGATCCGCAGCTCAAGGGATCCTTTAAAGCCACGTAGACATGAGGATTTTTTCGTAGGGTGTTAAGATAATTTCATTACTGTTATTGGCGGTGGTGTGTTTTCTCGTCTTTCAATCTGACATTACTGTTGTTGACGGTGCTGTGTGCTTTCTCGTCTTTCAGCCGAAAACCTTGATCTCCGACTGATGTCTTTAGACCCTGATGGCCTGGATCCACATTGCAGTCAAAGCTCAAGCACACCAGTAAGCTGTTTTGGGCATGGCCTGATGCAGGGTATGCATTCAGTATTGTATACACTACATGTTGGAAGGGCCGAGAGAGACACATTAAGATCTTGTTATGCGTGTGTGTATATATTTTGTTGTGCTACATATGCACGTATGCATATATATATATATATATATACAGACAAGTTATATACGCATAATACTAATCGATAGATAGAATGCCTTCGAAACTGATGGAAAAGGTGCGAGGCACGGCTGGGCTTCAAAGAGAGGTCGTCAGCGCGGAGGAGAGCAAGGCCCTCTTGCCCCCCGAACCCTAGACCCTAAACCCTGAACCCTGAACCCCTAAACATTCAGCGAAGCGGGTGGGAAAAAAAACTAAACCCTAAACCCTATACCCTAAACCCTATACCCTATAAACCCTAAACCCTAAGCTCCGACCCCCGATGTGGGGCTTGGCGGGGAGGGGGGCTTCATTTAAGTCTAAGTTGCCTTAGGGATGACATGAACCCTAAAAGGGTTTAAGGTTCATATACCATATAGGGATTCATAGTACATGGGAATAAGGCCCCTACTTTTCAGGGTCATTTGGTCCTCAAGGTGTGAGACCAGAGTTGTGGACATCTCAGCCGCTATGGAATCAGTTTGATGATGAGTGAGGCTCCGATGCTCCTACATTAGGGTTTTCGGGGTTGAGGTTTCACGTTTGAGTGCCATGGGCCAGCGGTTGCCAACCTCTTCGGGTTATACAGCTATGTGCATCAGTGACATTCGTGACATTAGTGCGCTCTCGCAAAAGTACGTTTGCTGGGCTTGAAGCTTGCATCAAGTTTCGAAGGCACGAAGCTCGGGGAGATTTTGGAAATGTTTCCAACTTCCTTGCCAGGCAGAGCGCCTGACGATGAGGCTCGGAGATGCGCAGTGATTCCTGGACTCTAGATTCTGAACCTAAATTGCCCGCATGCACATCTAAGGTTTTCTGAGGTGTTCGGAGGCCTCTGTTCCCTGCAGAAAGAGTTCGTGTCACCCCGGGCTCTTCGAACTTATGTGCAGCTGTCCCTCCGATTCCGAAACCTCGGCTGACTTCGAGTGCGACTCAAGAAATCCTGGGCTCAACGGCCGAGCGAACTGCTGCCAGAGCAAGAATGAATCTAGGCTTTGCCAGGAAGTTCAGGGTCTGCATTGGGGCATCGTGCTGTTGACTTTTGGTTCCGAAGTAAACATGAACACCTACTTTAAAGGTCGCTCGCGGTTAT